GAAAACCATCCAGCGAAAACAACACTATGAACAAAATAGTATTTTTATGACATATTATTTCCCAGCCGACACCCTAGATTTCCATTCACTTCTGAGCCGTTTCCTCCACTCTGTTTCTCCTGAAATCCACTGGCATAATGCAGACACTGCGTATAGCTGTGTATGTAACGTGCAGTAATAAGGGAGGCGCTCCTGAAATGTATCCCAGCGCAGTTCGCCTGCTTAAACAACAGCGGCCCTTACAGTCCTGCGCGAGAAACGCCGGCTCGCGCTTCCCGGCTCGACATTAACTGTCCTGTGGGCTCATGTGAAAACGTAATGCAGTCCAACATCTGAAGCAATTATTTAAAAAAATAAAAAATAAATCAGACATTATAACTCATTACGTTTATAGTAACGTGTATGTTATGATAAATAGTTAGTCTACATCCTTTAAAAAAACTTTCAATCTTTTTTTAAGTACTGATAATCCATAATATCCGAAATAGGCCTATGATAAAATAGTTAACTTCCTAAAGCCAATAATCGCACCTTAAAATCGAAATCTAATGCGCTCTTATAAATTCATTGTATTCAACACTAACATCGCATGACATTTTACAGTTTGTAGCCTGTGGATGAGTAAAGTTCTGCGTGACAATGTTCTTATTCCTTTGTTTTGTGCGATTTAAAATCCATTTAATATATTCGTTTATTCCCTAAGACTACATTACTTTTTTCCTCTTATCTCCTCGCGATCCATGTTAAACAGATAAAACATCTAATTGGACCACTGAACAACAGCCAGCTCGTTATTACTTTGCGGGAAATACTTAAACTAAGAAAACATTTTTTTCCTTAACTAACCCTGATGATATTAACTCAGTCGAATGAGGATAATTCTATAATGACAGAGTTTCTTTTGCCATTGAGATATTATGCAAAAAAATAAATAAATAAATCAGCTACGCTTTGAAATATGTCACAAATCAGGACGCTATGATTAAACTAACTAAAATGTTAAGGATAAAGAAAAATCAGATATTCAATAATTTTATATAAGAGAAAAACAAGGCAACAATAACAAACAGGTATATAATAATATATATTTTTAATTAATATTAAGTTGCGTACTTACCCAATCTGACTCATCCAAAGCATTTTTGTCATTTTGTGCGCGCTTCATTATCTCCGCGGAACTTCGATCCTCTATCAAAACGCTTTGGCAATTAGGTCTGAGAAACTTACAGTCACTCTTCCTGGAGTCAGTCGTCATATACACCTCGTAGTTATGCATATGCTGTAAAGTCCCTGTACCTCCGGCGTCTGAGTAAAG